CCCCCGGGGGGCACTCACTCCTTAGTGTGAGGCCAGTGAGCTCGCCTTCTCCAGGATACAGGAAAGTTGCCAGCAGGGCCAGTCCAGGCCAGGGGCTCTTTGGCTCTTCACCCCAGTAGGAATTAGAGGCGTTTCTGTCACAAGTGCACAGGAACCTCCCTCAGCAGTGGCCAGAACACATGGCCAGGGAGCCCACGAGAAGTGTCTCTGTGACACATTTCCTGTCGGCCTGATGACGAGGTCAGAGGTCGAGCGTGAAGGGACCGGGAGCTGACTCATGCAACACACTTCCTTGGTGGCCAGTCTTTTCTGGACCCTTAAGCAGGTGGCCCCGCCCATGAGGACAGACCCAGGACTGGAGCAGGGGACGCAGGGCGCTGGAGCATTTAGGAGCGGGCCGATGCTGCTGCCCCGGGCTGGGTTTTCACGCATCCCTGTTCTGTTCCATTTCAGCTTATGTATTTTCTGTGGGGAGAGGAATGAGGCCTTCACAGAGGAAGGCCTGGACCTGCATTACTGGAAACACTGTCTCATGCTGACCAGATGTGACCACTGCAAGCAGGTCAGTCATGTGGGCCTCACCCAGCGCTCCTGAGAAACCCAACCAGCAGCCTGGCCACTTTGGAAGAGTCGTCAGCGGGAATCCTCTGGGCACCAACCGCAGGCACAGGCCCGTCGCCGTTGTGCTTTGGGTGCTACTTTTCGAAAGCCCCTTTGTGGAAGTGGGTTTGTGGTTGTTAGGGGGTCTCCTCCCAACCCCTTCTGTGTCTGAGCCCATTGTTGAGCTGCTCTAGCAAGCCGCCTTGTTGAGGGGCTGCCTCTGCCCCTCTGCTTCACCAAGCCTGGAGCCCCTCCTCCGACTGCTCAGTGTGTGAGACCAAGTCTCACCATCCCTACTTCCTCCAACGCAGATCCGTGCGTTCGTTCTGGACGCCCTTGGCCTGGTAAGGTTCTCCCCCAACACCTTGAGTCAGAGGTGGCCGCCGGCTTTGGCGTCCTGCTGTGCTTTCGTATGGAGCTAATGCCAATCCCGTGGGTAGAGTCAGGCACCCCTCGGGATGGCGTCTCCGCTTCTCACATTTATACCGGTTGAAATGTGAGTGTTTACAAATCATAAGTGTTCGAGCTCGAGGGATTATCCTTCAGACACACTTGTGTACCTGCCACCCCAGTCAAGAAGCCAGCGGACCACCCCCCAAGGGAAACACCCCACCACTTCCCCTGGAGTCAGCTCTCACGCATGGCTCTGGCACGTGTGGCCCAGGACAGCTGCACCCACGTGTTCCCAGTGAAAGGACCGTGCCCTTTCAATAGTCTGCCACACCTTTCTCTGAGATGCCTCTCTGTGCATTCTCGAATGCGTCCTGCTCGGGCTGTGCTTGGTTTCCTCACTGGACAGTATTCACTTACTCAGCTGCCTGCTGGGGGCTTCAGGGTGAGGCTGTCTTCAGGAGCACACGTGGATGCACAGACCAGGAGCGGAACTGCTGGGTGTGCAAGTACCCCAGTTTGTCTTCCAAAATGGGCACCGCTCGGCCCAGCAGCAGTATGTAAGAGCGGCTCCCTGCCCCACCAGACCAGCACTGCCAGCCTTCCGCACATGCTGCACTTGGGCCGCACTGGGTGGTGCTCAGGACCTCCTTGGCTTCCCCTTTGGCCTCTCCCTGATGACTCGTGAGGTTGAGCACCTGTCCGTTTTGTGAAGCACCTGTGCTCGTCTTTTACTGTGTCGGTTGTTTTGAAGTTGGGCTGACTGTCTTTTTCCTGTTGACATGACTTCTGTATACAAAAGTGACAGGGAGGCGCTGGGTGATCCAGACAGCGAACATGCTCAGCTGCTTACCAAGAGGGTGGCAGGTTGAGCCCATCCAGAGGCACCCTGGCAGAAAGAAAGGGCTGGCCCTCTGCTTCTGAGCTCTCACAGAGGGCGGCACTGGAGGCCTGGCTGGCTCTCAGCAGCTGAGCTCACTGAGGGCCGGCTCTCCCACTCCGTGGACGCTGTTCCATCGCCTTCAGGGATCGCTCCCATGGTGACATGGTCTGCCCTGCCCGCCATTTGTATGCTTGATGCTTTTGTGCCCTGTTTAACCAGTCACCCAAATTGTCAGTCTCTCTGGCGCAGTAGCACTCCCTCCTTCCCAGGGTACCTGTTCAGGCTGAGGAAGGCAGGCTGCACTGGGCAGCTCCTCCCCGAGCAGGTGATGGGGCAGACCAGCGTTCCCTCAGCACCGTGCAGGAGGCTGGGCAGGGACTTGCTTGTGGGGTCTACACAGGTCTTTCCAGGAAGATGTCTGCATAGCGAGAGATCTCTTCCCACTCTGGTGTGATTCTCTTTCTGGCATGTTCTTAGGATAAGGGGGTTCTGAACTCGGGGCTGCACATTGAACATGAGCTATCCT